TGCTGAACCTGGATCTATCTGTGCGTGAAAGGCAGTCTTTGTATACACTGCCCTTGTATCCCTGGTGGAAGCTGTTCAGGCTGCTGCTGTGGGTTTACAGAAGGCAGTGGTGCTTGGTTTGAACACTTCCCCAGCTGAATCTGTCAGAAATGAACACTGTGCTTCTCTCTGGCTTTCACATGCAACTGGCTTTTCTGGTTCTGTGTAAGAGGGAAGGTGCTCAGGGTTCCCCATAGGGACAGTGATCCCATAACAGGTGTCTAAAGGCAAGCCAACTGCAGCATATGGCTTGTTTTCACCAAGGGCATCCTCTCATCTCCCTCAGATCCACTGAGGTGTGAACTAAGCCTTGAGGAAGACTGCAGGGTGAGGGAAACCAGCAGTCTTTCCCCATCCTTAGTATGTAGTAACACTTCTGTCTGCAATAACATTCACCACCGCAGGTCTGTTCAGGACAACCCCTGGAAACATCTCGGCGAAGTACAACACTGACTTCACACCAGCTGGCTGGACTTTCCTCATCTGGAATGTCATCTATGCCTGGCAGCTTGCCTGGCTTCTCTATGCCTTGTCAGGGATCTGTCGAAGGTATTTTCCTTGCTTATGGTAGAAAGGAGGGAGAGGGGCTCTTCATTTCTGTAACTCAGTCTCTTACTCCCTTTTCTGGGGTTTCTAGCCAGAGTAAACCCACTGCCATTCCTTTTGATTTGACATGCTGAAGCTCTGCTGCTGGAGCATCTTTTAGGTTCAGCATCCAAAGCTGGGAAGCAGTTTGGAGGTGCATGTGAACTGCTCTAATGTCTGGACAAATTGCAAAGCATGTAAACTGTTCTGTGAGGTCTGGTTTCCACTGATTCATGTGATCTGACAGAGCTACCCAGTAGCTGCACTTACTCGCTTGCTAGATGCTGAGAATCCACAGGGGAAAAATTAATGAATTATGGAGTTAATGCTTTGAGTTTACTTGCTGTTAGAGATCAGAGAATCAGCATTGGGAAGTCTCTTGGGTTGCTGAACTGGACTTGAAGCCTTTCCTGGGGCTATGAGATCAGTAACTGCCTCATGCAGTACCATGCAATATTTGTAACAATCTGTGGTGTCTTCTGTGGGATAGACTTGCATTGCAGCCCTTCTGTCAAGGGGGACCATGGACTGCTTAGTTTGAGCCTTGTGCATCTGCTGTTTTCATGTGACTTGTAAGAAGTTGCTCGGTTGATACTGGCCAACACTGAAGGTTGAGGGGGAAAAATGAAGTATTTATACAAGAGTGATCAAGTCTATACACATGTGTGTGCATGCCCACACAAAATATGTACACATATGCGCTCACACTGTGATCCCATAAGTCTTTTTCCCCAGGAATTGAGCTAAAATCCCATGACCATGCCATTGTTACCACCACCAGTGGCACAAGCTTTGTAGCATCTGTGGAGCAGTCCTTAGTACCCACTAAATCTGTGATGGTGCAGTGGTGGTGCAGAGACCAGCAAGAAGTTCTATACCATGGGACAATGTCCTGGTGGGGAAAGCCACAGAGACTGTATTTTGTGTTGGAGAAGGATTCAGAGGAGAAATAGTCTGATTTAGGTTGAAATGTTTCACTCCAACCTAGAGTCCCTGTTAACATGAGGAAAATGAAGCCAGGAAAGTTTCGTTGGTCAATGCAGTCATTGTTTTCCTGTCTCCATACCTACTTTTTCCTGGCAGGAATGAACTTGGATGTGTCTACATAAAGCCAGACTTGCTGCCAATACCTTTTTACATGGTGTGGATTCTGAATAACAGCCTCAATGTTGGATGGCTGTTTCTGTGGGACCGAGAGTAAGTTGCTTTTTGTTACAAATGCTTTCTAACCCTCTTGTTGGGACTACCCCAGCGCTTCATTTTGCACTTTTCCCTATGTGTGAATGCTTAATCACACCTGTAAAACTCTATGACAGGCCTTGGCAAAAGGTAGCCTTCATAAAAGTTTGTTTTCATCTTGCCTGTGAGGTAGATTGGTTATTGAAGTCTAAGATCTCCTCAAAGCTGTTGTTCTTATGTGTTTTTCCTCCACAGGTAAGACAGGAGCCATGCCTCTCTTCATAAACACAGTTAAGCTCCTTGCCTTGGATTGTTTTCATAATCATGGTCACATGAATGGCTTATAATAGCGCTGCTGTCAAGAGGTGAAGAAATCGGTTGCAGTCAGGAAAATAACTTTGTGATTAACAGAGTAAAACAGCAGTAGGTTAAAATGAGGGCTACATGTAGTGATTACCTTTATTAAAGGCTGGTTAAGTTAAAGTCAGTAAAGGCTGGACAGTAAAGCTATGAATTAAGGCATTGTGACACCACTGAAAAATGTATTGTACATTGTGTGTATGTTGTATTCTTTGTCCTAGATACCTCCTCCCAGCCCTGATGTTCCTGGCAGCCCTCACTCTTACTGCGTGTGCTGCCCTCTTCATTTCACACCGAGCGTTGAGCAGCCATTCCTCGTGGTTTGTGAAGGGTCACAAAACTGAGCTCTGGCTAATCCGCATCCTGGTAGGTGGTATTTCAGAAGCTGTGCTGTTCGTAAATGCTAACAAAAAAAAACCCCCAAAACCTGCTGTGCTGAAGGTATCAAGAATAAAGATTCAATGACAGGAGATGGGTAAGGGAAGATTTCTGCCCTGACTTTAACTTGTGCCTGCTGCAGGTACACACAGGCTTAATTGTACCTCAGTTTCCTATCGGACATCATGGCAATGATTTAGAGCAAGGTACTTGTACTGAAGTACCTTGAAGTACCTCGTACTTCTCCAGCTACTACTGAATGAAGTTTTCAGTGATGTATGAAAACTTCAGCCCAGACTTGTGTTTGAGGTGTGGAAAAGAATATTTCTTGCAGAGGGAGAAGCCATTACTAAGGGTGGCTTCTGTTGCTGTAGCTGATGGTGATGTCCCTGGTATCTGACTACAAAAATTATATATTTCTTGTACGGGGAAGTGCATACTGCTCAAGGTTTCAGATGCAACTGCCCTTCTGAGTTTTGCCAAATTCTGGAAGAAAATTACTTTTCTGCTGTTTCTGAGAAGAGTGGATGTTCGTTTGGCAAACTGCATAGAGAAAATAAGAAACATACTCATACTCCCATCACTCCTTGATTTCCCTCCTTGTGCCTCTCTCCTAGCTCAAACCTGCTACCCCCCAACTCTTCCTCCCCATCCAGGACACCTCACACTGCAGTTCCTCCCGTGGCTGCTCTGTGTGCTTTAACCACCTGTGGTTCCTTTGCTTGATATTGGTGTTGCTCAGTGAGAAAGTGGATCAACTGAAAAAGCACATCAAAGGAGCTAGGAGGGTCTCCAGTGGAGGGGGAGTCTACAAAGCTGGGAGTCTGCACAGAAATGTTCCTACTGACTCTGCTGAAAATGTCTCTAAATCTCTTGGCACAAACTGGGAGTGGGCTCTGTTCTTTACACCCTTGTATTTCAGTTCCTGAGATGCCAGTACAATGCAGGGAGTTAGGAAAAGCTGGACTCCTCATCCTTGCTCAGGAGTGACTCTAGCCCTTGATATTGCCTGCTGCAGTCTCTGTGTAGCAAAGATGTTTGGGAGGTGGCTGGGATTCTCTCTGTCAGTTACGGCAGCCTGCAACAACTGGGGGGGGCAGCCAGGTAGACTCCACACTTTGAGGAGTGGATGGGAAGCCCCTGCTGGGGTTGCAGGGCTTTGTACGGGGAATTCTGCAGCTGCCACTGGGGTGAATCTCTGGGGTACTTTGAAGCCTCCAAGCCTTCAACTCTTCTCCATGTTGAGGGACTTTCACTGCAATTAGGTCCAGAAGGCTGGCTTAACTGCCCCAGGACCTATGGGTCATGAAAGACAAACAGGAATTACCTTTTTTTATCACTGCTTGTCATCTTGCTGTGTTATGTGGCAGGTCCAGAATGGGCTGGTGCTGTATTCAACATGGACCACCATCGCCACTCTGCTGAACTTTGCTGTTGTGTTGATCTACAAGTGGAACGTGTCCAATGAGACAGCAACGACTGCTTCTCTAAGCATCCTTGCTCTCGGTCTAGTAATATGGTAAGCAACCTCATGGGTTCCCACAAAGCCTGAAAGACCCCTTCCACCCAACCCACAAATGGGTTGGACCATCTGTCCCAATTCATTCATAGTCTGTCCCTGTACCAACTCTGAGTACAAAGTCTTCTGTTATAATTCATGGCAGATGAACTGGGACCCCAGGCGGAGCTTTTCTTCCCTGACCCTTAACAATGCCAATAAGCACAGGCTGTGGCCAGGAACAGGTTGCTGTGACTTGTATGAGCCCAATCCACCCTAGGGTTGCAGGTGAGGGCTTGATATGGAAAACATATGAAACATGGCTTTTTTTTCCTCTTAACTTACCTTAGATAATTTTTTTATTAATCGTCTGAATTTTAGTAAATGAACAATTTTGGGCTCTGGTCCAAAGTGGCCTGCAAAAAAAAAAAAAAAAAAAACAAACAACATTTTGTCCAACTCCTTTCTTAAACTTTCTATGGGGGGAAAAATGTACAGAGAAAATGTTTACTTCGGTCACTCTTTCTTCACAGGTTTTATCTAGAAAACTTCTTTCTTGATGAGTATGTCCGCTATAACCTTACAGTCTACCCAGTGGTCATAATAGCTCTGACTGGCAGTGCATGCAAGAACTTCTTGTTTTCATCCCCAACGACAAACGGCATTTTTATAGGTGAATCTTTTGGACTGTTTCCAACTCTTGTAAAAGAAGGCCCGTAAACATCATTGCCCATGAGCCTTGGGGCTGGATTCAAACCTTGTGTTGCCTCAAGTTCGCTTCCCGGTGCAATGTTTTCCCTACACAGTCTTCCACCATCGACTTGGGTCCTCTGCTGGTAGCTCCATCTGATGCAGGGTGGGCTAAAGGAAGAGCAGGGATGGAATGAAGGCTGTGGACTTCCATTTGCCCTCTATCATTTGGGATATAGGAGCAGTGCATAAGTTTCTGACCCAAGGAGGGGTTGTATCTAAATTTCCCAATGCAAAACCCTGCGCACGCTCCCCTCCTACGCAGAGCTCAGGCTAGCCTTAACAAGTTTTCCTGGGATTATTTGGTTGCTGCAAGCCACTGTAGCTGAGTTGAGTGTAGTCATCCATTGTAAAAGGGCTTAAGTTGTCTGAACACTGTACAATCACAGCCTGGCAAAAGCTATGCCATTATGAGTAGTTTTATGCTGGCATGAAATGGACTGAGCTGCATGAACTCTGAATCCTGCTGTAGCAGTTTGAGATGCTGGTTCCCACCACAGGGTCAGCAGAGGGGAGCATGTTCCCACCCTTCAGCCTTCCCACTGCCATGTGCCAGTGGCTAAAGCTAATTTCTGGACTGGCACCACTATTGCCACCACTCCAGTATGTGTTCCCTTTTTGCTGTAAGGGCAGCTGGAGCCTGGTAATGCCTAAAAGCACCCAGCAGGACTTAGCAGAGGTTGTCTGCCAAAGGCACAAGGGCACTGGAGCCCCATCTCCTGATGGTTATGGCCACCAGGAATGGGAAGGTATGTGTGATCTCTGGCAGACAGCTGTGTTCCTGCAGTAGGTGCACTTCTGCCAGCAAAGCTTCATGCTTAGTGGTTCAGCTTGTTTGGCTGGTAGGGCAAGAATGTGCTTTTCCCAAACTAGTGCATGTTTCTTTATATAGTTCAACTATTCTCAGAGTGTTTTGTTAATGTAATGCATTTTTATTCCTGTGTCCATAAAGCCTTCCCCTTTTAGACATGCCTTGACCTGGAAGCATTGGGCAAGTTTGAATGGATAGCAGTGAAACTCTGAACTCTGTGAAATACAGCTCTGATGGGGGGTAATGGCTCCTATGCAGGGGGATTCTTTTTTTCCCCTCTTTTCCTGCTTTCCCTGTGTCCTGGTTTCAGCTGGGATAGAGTTAATTTTTCTTCCTAGTAGCTGGTATAGTGCTGTGTTTTGGATTTAGTATGAGAATAATGTTGATAACACACTGATGTTTTAGTTGTTGCTAAGTAGTGCTTACACCAGGCAAGGACTTTTCAGCTTCCCATGCTCTGCCAGGTGCACAAGAAGCTGGGAGGGGACACAGCCATCAGTGAGCAATTGCACAGCATATCACTTGCTTTGTATATTATTGTATTATTATTATTACTATTCTATTTCATTTTGCTTCAGTTATTAAACTGTTCTTATCTCAACCCACGAGTTTTGACTTTCACCCTTCCAATTCCCTCCCCCATCCCATCGGGGTGGGGGGAGTGAGTGAGCAGCTGCGTGGTGCTTAGTTGCTGGCTGGGGTTAAACCACGACACCCTGAATGCCCGTTGTACTGGCAGCTGGGGTATGACAAGAGGTACTGACTTTCTCTCATGTGCTAACATGCTTCTATGTTTCTTTTCTAGTTGTTCTGCTGGCCATGACTTGCTTGATCTTTGCTGTTCGACTGGGACTAGTCACATGGAGACACTGCAAGAGACCACTGGAAGCATCAGAAACCCCAGACCCATCAGGCACAGTGGCCTGAGACCTCTGGTATGTTGTGGCAGATACTTTAAAGGGAAGAAAAAAGAATTGGGCATCTGCTGGTCCTTCCTTCCAGTATCGATTGCCCTGTGCTCTTTAAATATTTATTTCCATTCCAAATGCGGATGGCTTGTGTCTGCAAACCTGTCCTGTTCCCATGTTCCCTCAGATCAGCTACTCACAGCCCCACCTTGAATCTGCACCCTCCTTCATTTAATTTGACTCTGGATCAGTGCAGGAACAGGTCCTTCAGCTGAACAGCCTTGTGTACCTCTGACTGAGCTGTGGCTCTCTGTTCCTGCCAGTGCAACGAGGGCTGTCAACAGGCACTTAGCAGGCTTGCACAGACAGCTGTTCATAGCCTTTCCTTGGTAGCCCATTTTCCTTAAAGTGCAGCTTTAGGTGACCTGTCCCTGGGAGTCAAGGCGAGCAGCGGGAGGGAGGTCTGTCATTCCTTTGGCCACTCCATGCTGGGTGCCTGCAAGCCCTGGTGGTGTGAGCAGATCTGCAGGCAGTGACTGCTCCCTTTCCTGCTTCTCTTCAGCATGATGGGAACAAGCACCACAACTCTAGAGATCTGCCTTTGTGGTGTCAGCTCTGATGTTTGATATCCAAAGGGGGGGGGGGGGGAAGGGGGGGAAAGGGGGGGGGGGGGGGAAAGGAGTGACTGAATACTTCTGACACAATTGTAAGCCTTCAACCTATTTCAGCTCATTGTAGCTCTAGAAACTGAAGATGCATTTGCTTTTCAGCATACAGTAAGATATCTGGGTCTCTGCCCTGGTTTTTCATGACTTCTCAGTTAAGTTAGTCACTGTGTCAGTGGCTCTGTCTGTGGACCCACAATAACAGCAGATTTGTGCTGCTTCTGCTCTGCCTGTAAGACAGATGAGATCTGGGTCAGGCGGGAGCAGTAGGTTGCCTTTCCCTGAGCTGTGTAGAGCAAGCAGTGCACAATCTGTGCTGGCTGGATGCCTCCTGCTGGAGGATGGCTTGTAGCTACTCTGTCAGGAGGTTAAATGTACAGACAAGATGATACCTGATCTGGGGTAAAGCCTGCTACTTCAAAGGAACCCTATTTAAGAAAAAAAAATTATTTGAACTGGTAGAGTGAGTTTGTCCTGGATCAGTGCTTTCTCTTGTGGCTTTGCCTAAAAGTGGATTGACTGAATTGTTGGACCGCTGCCTCTATTTCCTGTGCCTACTCAAGAGCTGATGGTGCCTCACCGGTGTCTGGAAAGTGTTCCTCCATGGCAGGTGCTTTCAAATGCTGAATATCTTGCAACACTATTACAAAGGTGGACTATTCTAAAATAATGGGTGCTATTGTTTACATTTAACAAAGAACAATCAGTGTAACACAACTCCTCTTGTCATTCCATCACATAGCTGCTTTATTTGAAAATAAAACAAATTCCACCACTCTTCCACTAACTCTGTAAATCATCTAAAGCCACTGTCCTGGCTCCTGCCTCGCCTGTGCCCTGGGTTCTGCAGCAACCCTAGTGCCAGCTGCCCCTCCTTGGCTGGGCTGCTCCTGAGTATAGCTGCTTCCACTGATCATGCCTTCATCACTTGGGCACGTGGATTCCTACATGTGACTTGAACTCCTCTGCCCAGCACCCTGTTCATTAAACTTCTGTTTTATAAGCTCTGCCTCCGGAGAGCCCAGCTAGTAAATTCCCAGCAGCCTCTCTGTAAGCTGCCTTCTTTAATACAGTGGTATTAAATCCACTGGTGTGTGGATTAAGGGGTCCAGGCAAGGTGAGTAGTTGGCACTGGACTGTGCAGCAATTAATGCATGAGGAGCCCTGGAAGATTTTGCATCCTCCTAAGCAAGAGCTTTGCAAACAGCTCCTGAACCAGGCCAGCTGCACTGCCTTTCCAGAGGACATTAAAGAAAGCCTTCAGCAGCTTTCTCGGTGTCTGTACTGGACAAATGACTAAAACTATACCACAGGATACAATTAATGTATTAATTAGCTGGGGAGAGTCAATCAACAGGGCTTCTCTATAGAGGGAAGTCATGTCTCACAAACCTCTGAGTTCTCTGAAGGACTCAAAAAAATCACACAGGTAAGAGCTGTTTTATATTGCCACTGGCTTCTAAGGAAGCTCAAGAGCTATGTCATAAAAGGCAATGTCCTTCCATAGATGATTAAAGCTGGGAAATAGAGGGGGTGTTTCTTTCCAGGAAGGGAGGTTGCTGGTGGCATGTGTCATTAGACCTGGGCTGGATAATGTTGTCATTAAAAGCCAAGGGATAGGTTGATGATGGACAGTTATTTAGGATGCTGAAGAAGAAGGTTGACTGGGGAATTGCAAAAAGCTCTTACGAAAGTGAACAGTGTAATGATGGACGAAAGTCATTGTAGGTATGTGCTAAAGGATGTATAAAAGGAAAACAAGGCTGAACACATTCAACTACTATGCTCTGAGCTGGCCTCTTCCACTTGGGTGCAAGAGCTTGGAGTTATGGTAGCCTTTCCCACCCAACTATCTCTATGTCTGGCAGAAGTAGAGGCAAACCATCTATCAGGGATAGTTAGGAAAGGACTAAAATTGGGATAACTCTCATGCTTCTCTAAAACTACCGTGCACCCACGCATTGAGAGCTTTGTGCTGTTATGGTCCTTGCACTTCCAGGAGATTATGAAGACTATGGGAAAGATTTGGAGATGAGCAATGGCACCAGGGAGCGAGATGTCTCCCTGCCCATCTGTGCACCCCAGAGCTGAGGAGCAGCTCGGGCAAGGAGGTGTGTGACCCCTTTTCTCGTGGCTGCCTTGCTGTGTGTGGCATGGGGCCAGGTGCTGCTCTTCACCCTGCTTTTGCCCCTCTGAAATGAGCTGAGAGGAGGGCCTCAAAGGCCTTTTTCTGAGTGCTGATGAGGTGCTGCAGCAGCACCCAGTTAATCTTTTGCAAACTTCCCTGTAAGAAAGCCCCTGGCAACTGCCCCAAAAAGATTAGGCTGAGCTAGCCCCAGCCCTGGCCACCCACAAATAAGCTCCTGGCCCCCAAAACCTCTCCAAGCACTATTTTCCTCAGAGCTGGGGCAGGCAGACCTCCAGCCAGCTTTGGGAAAAGTGGCTTGCCTTGCGTCTGTGGCAGGAACAGGAGCCTAAAACTACCCTGCCTGCCCATTTTTCTTTTAGCTGGAGAAAGGGAAAGAAGGATGAAAAATAAGTGTGAACCTTCCCCTTCCAGTCTTGGGGCTAAAGATAGCCCCAGGC